GGATACTAATAATTTACTTATATAATTTTTGTTTTATATTAGACTAATTCAATTTTAATTATTCAAATTTTTGATTGGCTAATAAAATTATATAATATGATCAGTAAATCAGTATCTTTAAAAAAAGAAAATTAATATGAATCAAATACAAATTAAAGAGAAAATTTTCTATTAAATATATTAATATAATTTTTATAGATTTTTAAATAAAATAATTACATCTTCATACTTACTTTTACCTAAACCAGTTTTTATATAATAGTAGCAATAATAAACAAGTTCTCAACATATTCTTTTTTAACAACAGAATTCTTTTTTTTTAGTAACAACATATTCTTTTCTAACAGCTGTATAATCTTCAATTATATACTTTTTTTTATTTCAACTTAGTAGCAAAATTTGAATCTAAATCAGTTTGAAATAGATCAAATATACATTTAGGATATTAGTTTAAAGGGATAAAGATAAAGATAAAGGTTATAAAATAAAATTAAGATTCTTCTGATGAAAATTTAAAAATAAATAGAAATAAAATAAAGTTAAGATTATCTTAAAAAATTATTCTTTTTAGTTTAAAAGAAATAAATTAAATAAATATAACAAAAAATGTTTTACTTAATAAAGAAGCAAATGCAATTAAAAGTAAATTTTTTTATATTGATTACAGTATATTAAATTATTAACATTTTTATTTTTTTTACATTTAAGATAAATTTAATTAATAAAGAAGTATGAATTTATAAAAAGATATAATAATTAAATTAAAAATAAGCGAAAGGATTGGCATTAGTATAATAAAATGGATATGATTTTTAGAATATATGAAAATATAACCCCTTTATTTTTAGTAAATAAGGAAACAGATATTATTGAAAAAGAGGCTGTTAAAATTAATAAGAAAAGCAAAAAAAAATTTAAAAACAATGTTGATGCTATACTTATAGTAATAGCTAAATGAGTCAAACATGTAAAAGAATCTGAAAAATAAAATGTTATTAAAAAGGGAATGATTGGAAGTTAAAAGAAAAGGTGAGCAAATGAAGAAAAAGTTCAAGAATGTAATTTGAGTAAGATGAGAGAATTAGAATTGAAATTATAAAGAAAAGATTTTAATCTTTATAAAATATTTGATTCAAGTAATAAGAATCTAATCCAAGAAGTTTAGCTTTTTCTTCTTCTTTTTAACTTCAAGTTCTTCTTTAGAATAATTTGACTCTCCGTCAGAATCCTCAAAAATCTGGCTTGATTTAATAAAATTTACCAGTAATTAATTTTCAATATTTTGTTGATATGTCATTATAGATAAATTAAAAGTTGTTTTACGCCGATCAATTTTGATTTTGATCGCATGATCGGATTGGTTAACGGATTTTGCGATCAAAAAATCCGACTAGGGTTAATTTAATAATATAACTGTAAAAAAAAAAATTTTTTTGATTGGTCGATTAAAATCTGGTCTGTCACACACGAACCAACTTTTTGGGCGGCGTTACCGAAAAATTAAAATCCTTTTTACATTTACACGTTACATGATATATATCTTTCATGAGATCAGATAAAGTCTCGGTTTAAAGATTCGATATTAATGATGTCTCTCTATTAAATAAATGCATACATTACATTTTAAATAACAAGTACAAACTATCTTTTTTATTTCTTTTATTGATTTGCATATAATAATTAATAATAACAATTTCTAATGATTAAAAAAAAAAAAAATTACAAATAAAGTCCTTCTGGTGTGCCTTCTGTTTTACGGTAAAGAACTTTTTCACGCGCTTTTCTAAAATCTTCAGCAATCACTTTCATACGCCTTTCACGAAGTGCCAATAAACCTGATTCGGTACAAATAGCCTTTAAAAGAAAAAAAGTGAATGGTGTTAACTCTAAATCTAAAGGTAAACTTGATACTTGTTTAATACATTACCTTTATATCAGCTCCACTCAAATCATCCTTTGACATTACAAATTCTTCAAGATCTACATCCTCTGCCAAAGTCATTCTACTGGTATGAATATTGAAGATACGCCGTTTGGTTTTCACATCTGGTAATGGAAACTCAATCTTACGATCAATACGACCCGGACGAATTAATGCCGGATCGAGTGATTCAATACGATTTGTTGCCATAACAACCTAAATTATATTAATTCTTTAGATAAACCTTTACGTTATGCGTTGATTGATTCAAAAAATTATTATATAACTTTATTACTTTAACATCTCCTCGAGAATCAAACCCATCCAATTGATTTAAAAGCTCTAACATAGTTCGTTGGATTTCTCTCTCCCCACCAGAATTTGATTCATAACTGATAACATCCATGATTATTAGTAAATGAAGAAATCATCAACTGTCAAACGAATAAAATTGAATTATAATCATACCGCTTTGTTCCAATCGCATCAATTTCATCAATAAAAACAATTGAAGGTGCGTGTTCTTCTGCGACACGGAACAATTCACGCACAAGTTTTGGCCCATCTCCAAGGTATTTTTGAATTAACTCCGATCCGACAACACGTAAAAACGTTGCTGATGTTTGATTAGCCACAGCTTTGGCTAACAGCGTCTTTCCTATTTAATGAATACATAATTTTAAATAACTTATTTGTGAACTAATAATATTTAATATTAAAAATTATTTTTACCTGTTCCCGGAACACCGTATAAAATAACACCCTTTGGAGGTTTAATACCCATTTCTTCATATAATTCTGGATGTGTTAACGGCAATTCTACAGATTCTTTAATTTCTTGAATTTGTTGTTCTAAACCCCCAATATCAGCATATGATTCGGTAGGTGCTTTTTCAAGTTTCATTACACTGACCATTGGGTCTGTATCGTCCTGAAGTACACCGACAACGGACATGGCCTACAATAAAAGCAAATTATAAAAATTATGATAAAACGATAGAGTAATTGATTCTAAAATAAAAAAAAAAGAAAAAAAAAAAACCTTGTGATGTAGTAAAATTGAACAACCAGGCTCTAATAAATCTTTATCTACAAAAGATAAAATGCTAACATAATACTCTGGTCCTGTAGATGACGAAACAATCGCGTGGTCATCATCAATAATTTCTTCAAGAGTACCAACGCCCATGGGCGATCCGCGTAAATCGTCTACTCGGGTTCTTTCTTCCTGTAATTAAAAAAAAAAAATTTAAACGGATCAATTAATTATTTTTGTAAATAATTAAATAAATCTGGTTAATTGAAATGCATACCTGTGCCTTCTCTTCTTGGGGCTTTAATTGTTCCTGATTTTGAACGAATTCTTCTTCCATCAACAAATAATCTTTTATCCGTTCCATTTTTAAAAGCTTCAACCGACATCGTGTTGTAGGAAAAACTAAGTTAAAAAATTTCGTACATTAAATAATTTTGTAAAAATAAATAAATTATATTCAAATGTACATTATTACTACCTGCTGGTAATTTAGAAGTTGCGTCAGGTCCTCTCTTCTTTTTCTTCCCAACGCGAGTAGGGAGAGGTGGTTCCCATTTTTTTTTCTTGTCTTTATCCTAGAATAATTGTTATTGGCCACCTTTGAGCGTAAAAGAGCGTATTAATTGAAAAAATACAAAACCTTGTCATCTTTATGTTTGTCATCATTAGGGCCACCAAGTTGAGGAAGACCTCCACCAGATTGAGTATTTCCCTACAATTTATACAATTAATATAGTCAATTTATAAATAATAATTTAACGAGAAAAGTTACTTGTTGAGAGATCTAAATTTACCATTTCTGTTTTGAATAATAAAAAAAGATCTGATTAAAATATTTAATAAATCTGAATTATTTATATAAAGATAAGGTTGCGTAATCGCCTATTACGTAACATGTAATGCATATATATAAAAATCACATGAGTGGAACGTCTCGTGATTCGTTTAAAAATTGGTATATACTGTATATATATATATATATATTTTTATTGTTAACATTAAATTGATTAAAGAAATTTAAATACAATTAAATGGAAGCTAATGTAACTTTCCTATATTCCCAATAATTTTTTCGAATGGTATCATGTTTTTCTGCTAAAGTTATGCAAATTTTGATCCCTTCTGCTTTATCCGTAGCAGAACCATTTCGTGCTCGACTTTCATGAATATCTACAAGACATCCAAGTGCATGAGGGGATATAATTTTTTGTTCTTCAACCTCTTTGCATAATCCTTCTAAAATATCAATATCCTTGTCAGACTTTGCAATAACTCTACATAATAATCATAAAACCACATTATTTTTAAAAAAGAGAAAATTTTGTTAAACGTTATATAAAGTATATATACCCTTTGATATAATTCCACGGGCTTATATTATTTGGAGCCAGCTTTATCTTTTCAATAACATAACTGAAAACAAATAATGTATCAAAACTTTTATAAACTACGATTAAGGTTTCTTATCATTGTCACTTACTTAATTTCTTGAGCGAGAAAATCATCAGTAGGTTTATTCGGATTGAAAAAAATCGCAAAATATCTTTGATTCCAAGCAGAGTTATTTCGAACATCTTTATCCAAATATTTATCAATAAATTCGAGTTCACCTTCCCATAAATTAAAAGTTTTTATAACCCATTGTCTATAAGTCCATGCATGATAATTTTTTGCATCATCATTCAAAACATTATTAATGAATGGTAATTCGCGAGATACATCCATAAGTTTTTCCACTATAATTTGCCGATGATGCCTTGAAAATGAAATCTTGATAAATAATTGCGACGCATAATAAAAAATGGTGTAGATTAACCTTACCAAAGTTGATAATTCTTCGGGTTATATTTTATTTGTTCGTCTACAAAATCCAATTCCTCATAAAGATTTTTATTCAAAAAGAATAAAATTTGTTGACGATAACGCCTGCACAAAATATTGCGAATGAATCGATCAAATATTTAAAGAACGCGTTAATAAATGTAAATTCTGCTCACCAGATAGTATAATGAGCAGGGTTATGTTCGATAATTTGTTCAGTTAAATCTAAGGCTCTTTCACTACGCTCGTCTTTTTGAGCAACGGCGCGAAAGTAACCCATAGCTTTGGCGTCTTTTAAAAAAACATTTTGGTTATTATTAATTGACTAATGCTTACTTATATAAAAACAAACATACATTCAGGGTTATATGCAATTGGCGCTAACGGGTCAGGCCCGTCGTCCTGAGGAATGGGAGTAATATCGTTCCAGACTTCTGCTTCTAATGTCATTTTAAGTAAGTAGTGTTTTAAAGAACTTTGAGTTCAATGAGCACGTGAGGAACTCCGCGGGGACCACAAACCTGATTGATAATCCGTAATCTGCTGTACTTTGATGCTACGTCATATGCACGAATTAGATAAAATGAAACACACACAGATGCCGAGTTATATATATGAATAAATTTGAATCTTCTGAAAACAATATATTTCTCGTTCATTATTTCCACTATTTCACAATTTTATTTAAATTTTTTTAGATTTTATTTTAAAACTTTGCTTAATTCATAATGGCGTCTATATTGAAATCGTTTTTGGATTGGCTCAGAAGTTTATTTTTTAAGGTATTTTTGGTCCTTTTTTATTATTATTATTATTATTATTTTATATCCAACTTCATACTTGGAAGAGAATATTAAGCATTTCATTCTAACATTATCGTTATTATTGAAGACGGAACTAGAGCTTACTCTGGTTGGTTTGCAGAACAGTGGTAAAACTACATTGGTCAACGTTATTGCGGTAAGTTTAAATGCAGTTTTTATTCAATAGAATTTCTTATTGAAAAATTTTCTACAATAGTCTGGTCAATTCAGTGAGGACATGATTCCAACAGTAGGTTTTAACATGCGTAAAGTCACGAAAGGAAATGTCACCATGAAGTTATGGGACATTGGTGGGCAACCACGTTTCCGAAGTATGTGGGAACGATATTGTCGTGGTGTAAACGCTATTGTGTAAGTACAATCGAAAAAAAGAAAAAAAAAAAATATTTTTTTCCTGGATAATAAATTAATTCTTTTCTATTTAATAGATTTGTAATTGACTCTGCAGATCATGAGAAATTAGAGGCAGCAAGGACCGAATTACGCAGTCTTTTGGAAAAACCTCAACTTGCAAACATTCCAGTTCTAGTTTTGGGCAATAAGAATGACTTGGATGGAGCATTGCCAGTTGAAAGGATTATTGAAGAAATGTGAGAAAACTTTTCTTGAAGAAACATTTTTGTGGGAAATTATTTAATATATTTTTTGTTATCATATAGGAATTTAAAATCCATCAATAATCGAGAGGTTTCTTGTTATTCGATCTCTGCAAAGAATCAAGTAAATATTGATATAACTTTACAGTGGTTGATTAGGAAGGGCAAAGGATCAAAATAAATGAATAGTTTAAGGTTTGATTTATGGAATTTTTTTTGTATGATTATTTTTTTATTTTCACATATTTGAAATTCGAATATTGTAGTTTTATAGGAATACGCCGCTTTTTCATTTAGGTTTCTAATATTATTAATTTATAAATAGGTTTTAACAATATTATGAGATTGGATAAAATATTTCATTTAATATTTGAGGTTTTTCATTCATTATTATTTTGTCTTTACATCAAATATATAATAAATATATAATTATAATATTTAATCTTTAATTAATTCGTTAAAATTGTAATAAAACTTTTTTTATACAGATCATAAATTTGTTATCTTTAAATGAATTTCTTAGAAAGAAGACTTTTCATATAGTTGAGAAAACATGTCACGTGAATGATATGTTATATAAAGTATATATATATTGTTTGAAATGATTCATTTCCAGATTTTCAGATCTTCATATATAGATAGGGTTGCAATATCAATTGAGAAAATTATTAAATGAAGAAATTTTCGATGCTCATGACGCGTCCGATCATTCAATGTTAACATTCTATTGTTTAGTTTTTCATTATATGTTCGAACTTCATTTAAAAGTTATATTTTCAAAGAATACAAACTGAATGTCAAATTTTAAATCATTGCAGTAATTAAAACAAAAGATAAGAACTTGTTCCCAATCGGGTTAGATCGCTCGTTTTTTTTTGTTCCTCTCAATATTAGACCTACACATCTCCTCAAAGTGTTACAAAAATTTTCCCTCGTGTTATTTATCCATAATGTGGAATTTGTGGCAAACGCGTTCTATTATTATTTTACGTGTCATTCCTAACTTTTTTTTTTATACATTTACTTTTTTTTTTTTTACCTCCTCATAACAACAAACACGCAACTTTCTTTTATATCAAAACAAATCAGTCTCACGCGAATGTACGTGCCTAATGATTCGTTATAAATAGCCTCTTCCTTCCTCCCTATCCTTTTTTCTTCATTACTCATAAGACTCCTTTCCTAACAAAACGCATTTTTAAAAATAATTTGACTTCCTTAATTCATAAATTCAATAAATTCACAAATTCACAAATTCACAAACAATTATAATGGCAAAAGAGAAGACAGCAAAAAAATCCGCCACTGGTAATATATGATTTAAAATTGATTCAAAATTTTTACTTTTTTATTTTTTCTTTAAATTTCTAAATAAAATAATAAAAAAAATTTTTTTTTTTCGTTTATTCTTTTCTTAGCCAAGAAACTTACACCATATAACAAGTTCATGAAAACTGAAATCATAAAAGTAAAGGCAGAAAATCCAAATCTACAACACAAAGAAGCTTTTAAAATGGTTGCTCAACGTTGGAAGGATTCGTGAGTTTTTTTTTTTTTTGAATCTCTTTTCTCTCTTTTTCTTTCGTTTAATAAATTTTTTTTCTTCCTTTTTTAAAAGAGCCGAGAATCCTAAAAATCAAACTGCAAGTCAAAAGTAAAAAGTCACCCGTTACTACTACTCTTTTCTTTACACGATTTTTTATGTGACATTACGAAAAGAATATATTAAATGAATAATTTGAATGTAGTAGTAAAAGATATATATCATCCATGAACATTTTAATTTCTCTCCCCCTCTTTTTTTTTTCATTCGGTTTTAATTTTTGTTTCTTACATTACTTTTTTTTTTTATCGTGATAATAGAATAGTATATGTAATAATGTGTATATTTCTTTCCTGATAACATACTGTTTCTTTACTACTTATACACTAATAAATCTTCAGTACGTAAATAACTCAAATATGTTATAAACAAAGGTTCTTTGATAAAATAAAAAATTTTAAATTTTAAATGTCAACAGCTTGATTCAATTCTTATATACATTGCGAATTGCGAATAAAAAAATAAATAAATCGAACTTAATTAAACTTTTCATTTATTAAATTTATCTTTTTAAATCCCCCGTGCATCATTCATTCCTCCTCCTCATTTGATCCTTCTGGAAATCCTTCCCAAACTTGATATAATCCTTCCAAATAGGATTGAGAAGTTTTTAGACGGAAAGGATCGTATGGGAAGTACTCTTCCATTGATAAGATAGAATAATTTCTATTGTCTATATGAGTATACTCCTCGCAAGTCATAAACCCTACGGCTTTTGAAATGAAGGAAAACATCTTAACCGTATTTTTAACACAATACTATATATATATTTTTTTCCATTAATTAGTAATTATGTTAATCAAAAAATCAATGAGTGATAATTTAAAACTTACTTTCAAAGGACAAAAAATTGATCCAATAATTTCCTTTAAATCTTCCGCTTCTTTGCTCCATATCTTCTTGTTTCCTACGTTGATTTCACAAAAGTTTTTCCACCGAAAACAAAAAATGTACATCGCCGTTTGTACAATTAGATAAAACTTTTCATGTTTCGACTCATCTGGAATACGAATGATGTTTTTATGAGTCATAACATACTCTGTTGCCCATTGTGTTAATGCGCGCATGCAGTAAATGACATCTTCAACATATAAATATTTTGCACGGGCAATATATGATGCAACGTATTGTGCAGCAGCTTTTTGGATAATTCCCTTTCCTTCATCGTCGATTAATTTATGGAGAAGTAATTTGATGAATCGAAGTGCATACATTCTATCCAATGAGAAATACCAAAATGGTATAAATTGGATATATCGTGATTTGATAGTATATAATATAAATTTCTCGAATATCGTGAAGATAGTTTCGGTTAATTTCATTCGTTGTTCTTGAGTTCCGTTTTTATAAGAGTAGTCAAGGTAATCCAAAACCAGTTTGATAATACAATCTAATTTTTGGATTCCGTTTGCAATATCAACAGCAATAACGACAGGTGCGGAATCCTCGATATCCAAATCAAGAGATTCCGCGTTTGCATCATCATAATCTTCAAAATTAGGTCTTAATTTGTAAAAATCAGTCGAACTGTATCTAGTGCTGTAAAGGCCTACATTAAATTCATCTAAACCTTCTTCCATATCTTCGATCTCATCGATTTGTCCTTGAACTTCGGTCTAAAACAGTTGAGTTCAATTAATATTAATAGATAAATATATATAACCTTTTTAACCAAACCGGATATAAATTAATTAATTACACATACGTCAAGTTCAATCATTCGTTCGAATATTAAAGTTAAGATTTTATGTTGTAAGGAGGGTGTATACTCAATCAATTGCAGTAAATTTTTTACGTACACTATGTATGCTCCAAGAGATTCTCGTTTGTGCGGAAATCCCCTATATAATATATGAAAAAGTTCTTTTTCTCCCTGGGGAATCCTATGAACAAGATTTTTAATCGCATAATGTACCTTGCCATGTGCCTTTTCCATTTCTAGTACTTCAAGTTCTTTATCCTCCTCTGCGGAATATGATTTAGGAAATTTTTTAGAAAATCGTTTGTTAACATATTTTATCGCAAAAATACGATAAATCAAGAAACTTACTATAAAGAAAATTTTTGACCAACATTTCCAACATGGCTTCTGTACAAGACGGATAAGCTGCCACTAAATTGGTTAACAACATTACATATGCTATGGCCAAATTATTGTCATGATCTGCCCAATTTAAATTCAATAAAGTATAAACGAGATCTGAACAAGTTGCATCGAATTTATGTGATGTCCGAGAGAGGGCTAAACACCAAATCTTTAATTTCTTTGGATTTGGATTAATATTCGATGAATTGTTTATTTGACGAATTAGCTCATAAAAAGGGCCATTGTTGTCCTACATTAATATTATATAATTATCATAATTTCAATCATCCAGTTCGCAAAATTTCATCGAAACAAAGCTACTACTTGAACCAAAATAAGTTTAATAATGAAAATACCTACCTCTTTCCTTTGTTTAATCGCCTCTTCAATGACGCAAATCATCATTTTAAACTCTTGTTTCTGTATATCTAACTCGGTTTCCTGAGTTTTGTCAGTTGAATTCATCTTTTCAACTGGATTCGGGCGAGTTTCAATCGCATTGTAACGAGCAGCTTTTAATTTCATAGGTTTTGAAGCAGGCATGAAACTTATGATAATGATGATTCAACTACTAACAAAAAAAAAAAAAAAAATTTGGATCATTAAATAAAATTTCATTATATCACGTGAAACTTTTTTTGAACCAACCGCATACATTTTGAAAAATAAAGTTTTACCAATTTTTATTTCTAGATATTAAATAACGACAATAAAATGATAGTAATTTTTTAAAAAATAAAACAATTTAATCGAATAAAATGGGAATTTTTTGAATTTTTGATAGATTTTTATAACACGTGACAATTAACCAATAATAATCACATATCAGCGGAAAAAATAGCACGTAATTATATATGCGGTAGAAGGAGTTTTTCTAATAAAATTTTAAATTGATAAATTTGATATCGGAATTTTTACGGGTCTCTGATTAAATCCATAAAAATTTCACGTGACTTTTTATTATAATTACACCTGCTTTTCGTTTACAGTTATATCTACAATTTACCTATTTTTTGAAATAAAAATACGATCTATTTAACCTCAATTTTATTTTTATTGTTTCCAACACTATTCTCAAAATCTCAAAATGGCAATGGCAGCAGCATCAGCGAAAAACCGGAATGTAAGTATAATGTCACCTATAGCTTATTTACAGAGTTTCTAACAGTAATTCTGCTATTAGGCCCGGTTACCACCCGAGGTAAATCGAGTATTATTTGTGAGAAATCTTCCATTTAATATTACTTCTGAAGAAATGTACGATATTTTTGGAAAGTATGGTGCAATACGTCAAATTCGGCTGTAAGTTTTTTTTTTTCTTCATTCAGGGCCTTGTCATAAATCAATACGATTATCTTACGAGCTTTCTATTGTAGAGGATGTGAAAAAGATACACGCGGAACAGCATTTGTAATATATGAAGATATATTTGATGCGAAAGCTGCTTGTGATCATCTTAATGGTTTCAATGTTATGGGTAGATATCTTATTGTACTTTATTATCAACCTAATAAAGTTACTAAAAAGATGAACCTCCAGAAAAAAGAAGAGGAACTAAGAGAATTGAAGAGGTTAAACTTATAACTTTTTATTTTTTTAATTTGAATCCAATTATAACCAATTAATTAAATAAATTCTTCCTTTATTAGTCGATATGGAATACCTGATCAGGATTAATTTGACTAAGAAAAGAATTACGAGAATTATAAAGTGAGACAATTAAATTTATATAGCCAGTATACTATTTTCATATACTGCAACGTACCCTTTTAACACTTACACACAAATATAATATTTCTTATAATAAGATGAATAAATTAAATTCCAGATAGATCGATCTAGTTCAATGTTGAATATCATCCCATTCTCTCCCTTTAACTTTTGACAAATCTTCTTTGGAGGGAACTCTTCCACCACTAAAGTATCCGTCCGCAATTTTTGCATCAATTTCAACTCTAATAAAATAAGGATTCATTAGCATCTTCAAATCATGATCATCAAATAAAAAAAAAGTATATAAATTACCGGGAATCTGATGGAATCAACTCATCGGGAATTGGTACGCGTTCATGAATAGCAATTCCAGAACCAACGATAGCCTCGTATTTCATATTTGACATTGACATCATTCGATCAATCTTAGTAATACCAAGCCAATGCAACACGTCGGGCATCAACGCTTGAAACCTCATGTCTTTAACACCGGCAACATTTTCTTTAAAAACAAAATTTTTTCTTTAGATTAATTTTAAAAATGACATTCGTTAAATGTATTCAATAAAGATACCTGTTCGCAGGAAGTAATTATCGGCAGTATCCCCTTCCGCGGAACGTTTACGGGCGTTATACACAAGATATTTCGTGACTTCACCTAGAGCGCGTCCTTCTTTACGGACTTTATAAATCACGCGATTAGAAAAGCGTCGTATTATATGATCGTAATTCATTATAATATTTAACGCTTACAGTAGACTATAACTCCGGATCCGCCATTTTGAGCTTCCTTCACACATTCTTCCATACCGAAAATCAAGTATGGACGACAAGTACAAATATCTGATCCAAACACATCGGATCCATTACATTCATCATGTACTCGCACCGTCAATTTCTTGGAGGGATCGCTTACATTTTTTGGATTTCCAAAGATATAAACTGAAAGACCTCCAATTGGAGGCAAAAAGACTTTAAGATCTGGCCGTGTAATTAATTCTGGATACATTCCACCAGTATCTTCAAAAAGTGCTCGACGTAATAATCCTTCATCAATACCAAATCGTGCAGCTACACCTGGCAAAAACCATACAGGCTCAACTGCTGCCTTTACGACATTTAACTCTCCTCCATCTAACACAACTTTGCCATCGACGTTTAATTTTCCTTCTTTAACACGATTTTCAATTTCTGCCAGCTTCATATGTGCTTTAGTAATGGCAATAGTTGGGCGAATATCAATTCCTTGAGAAATTTGATTGGCAAAGCACGTCGTTGTAAGATGACCAAAGGGATCCAACGAGACAATTTTATCTGGACTTCCCCATTGTGGATGAGGACCTATTTTTACCGAAGGTTCAGTATTTTTAAAGTCAGGTTGGTGATTTGGGTCAAGTGCTCTCATAGCGACTGCTAAGGCACGATAAACACAATATGAACCTCCGTAAGCGCCAATAGCATTACTGCGTAAATAAGTTATTGATTAAGTAAATGTTATTGATTAACTGAAAAAAAATAGTTGTTACATTAAAAAAAAAAAAAAAAGGAAATTTATATATTATATTACATACCGGATCTTGATACTTTTAGGATGACGAGAAGCTACAATTGGACCACGAGTGATTGGTTCCAATTCACCCCATTTAAGAGAGATAGGCTTGATACCAAATTGATCAGGATATGCTATAAATGAATCACAAAGAGATCTTTAACATATAATTATAAAGCGAAAACACGAATTGAATATAAAGGTCCTTACTTGTGAGTATTACTCTGTCACTATATATTGGTTCTCCGGTTGAACTTATACTAGGTACTGGACCTGCTTTCGGCTGTATTTCGTTTTCTACAAATATAATACAAAAGTGATTAAGATATTTGTAACTATTCAAAAAAAAAAAAAATTCGCACGAACCCACCTTTACTTGTAATTATGGTTGTTTTGGAAGTATGTGTCGCGGGATCAAGTTTTTCTTGAAGTTTTTTCAGTTCTTCATTATTCTGAGCTTGGTACAAATCAAACTAAAAAGAAAGAAATAATTTTAATATATAGATCCAGGTTAAAATATTCAGTCCTGATAAACAAATACCTTGGAAGCTAATAATTCTTGATCTTTCTTCAGGCCATCAACAGATTCCAATATCTTTTGAAGTAATGTTTCATTTATGTTGGGAGAATCATGGGTCGCCATTTATGTTTGTTTCTTTAGTTTTGAATAAAAAGTTTTCTCGGTGTAAATTTTCGTTATCCCAAATTTGCTAATCGGTTTAATTAATATATATGCATTAGTCAACTTTTCGCACGGTCGTCGTCATTCGATTGGTTGCATTGAGTAACCGTTGTTTAATAAGGATTAGACCGGCCGGTCTTAGGTTCGATTTTTGAACTCAAATATTTAGTTACGAAATGTCTTGAGATAAGACTAAAGGAAGCGTCATTTATAGATTTAAACAAGCATTATGACAGCGGAAGCTTAATTATTGTTTTTAATATTTATTAATAAACGCAACAATGGAACCTTTGAATAACTAAAGTTCGAAATAAAATTGCATTTACTGATTCTTTCGCTGATCCAGTAAAAGAGCTTTAATTATTGACTTCAGTTCACGGTAACTGGATATTTTGCCACTTCGTGGCAAAATTCACCAATCAAATTATCCGGGTCGTATTATAATTCAATGTGACCGCGTAATTATGAATGATATTATATTCTTTTTTGGAGCATATTTCGCACATCAATCGAAAATGTTAAAGATTGGCAACAATGGTTTGCATAACGCATCATTTTATCGTCTATTTCCCTCAAAAGAAAACGTGAATGATCAAAATCTGGATTTATTTTAAATACATTTTGGAATCAATGCTAGGAAAATCAGGTTCTGGGAATGTATTAAGTTAATAGATTAAAAATGTAATAAGAATCCTCAGAACCTGATTTTCCTAATCTTCCCACAATCAAAATTTTCGAAATATCGGGCAAAGAGCCCATTTAGGTAAACTTTTCAAAGTACTCTAATTTAGCCACCAGTCTCCGATTGGCTGGTATAATTATTTGTGACATCCATAGCGTGACAAATAACCTAACCCCACCGAAAAAATCTTCTGTCTCTCAAAAATATATAATAAAAATTGAAAACATCACCAGTGTCACGCCGGTGACAAATCACCAACCCTAACCCTAACCCTAACCTAACTTTCTAACCTTAACCCTAACTAATCTCAATTATACCAGCCAATCATAGCGTGGACAATTAAGTATCAACTCAATTTATGAGCGGACAATATAAATAAATCTACACGTGACGGACCGATTCAAATCCTGATCGGTCATATGATCTGATCGCGTCTCCCTGACATCCCAAACGTTAATAATGTTTTTCGGTTTCGTCAAAACCGAATATCGTTATCAAACATGTCCAACATTCACGCTTCCAATCACCCTTTAATCGCTCATAAGATATCTATTCTTCGTAATAAAAATATTAAGCCAAAACAAGTAAGAGAACTTATGCATGAAATTGGTCAACTTCTTGCGTACGAAGCTACTGCCGACTTACCTGTTAAATCTGCAGAACCTGTAAGTTTAAAATTTCGAAATTACAATAAAATACAGCGTATTTTACCGTAATATTTAATTATTTGATGATTATGACATGTTTTGTTCTCATAGCAACAAAGTCCCTTGAGTACATATCCGGTAGTTCAATTGGCACATAGAATAGGACTTGTGCCTATATTGAGATCTGGTCTTAGTTTTGTCAATGGTATGAATTTTCTCATTATTAGAATTTACTTAATCATCTATAATAATTTGATTTATTATTTTTTTTTAAAAAAAAAAAGCCGTGCAAGAATTGCTTCCAACCGCTAGGGTTTTACATCTTGGAATTTTCAGAGAAAAATTATCACTTCAACCAGTAGAATATTATAACAAATTACCCTCAGAACCCAATGTTGATCAAGTTATAGTCTTAGAACCAATGATTGCCACAGGAGGAACCGCTACCGCTGCAGTCAGCATTCTAAAAGATTGGGGAATAACATCAACGATTAAATTCATTACGGCAGTAGCTTCTCGTCAGGTAATCTAATTGTAAAGCACCAATTGGAGGAAAGAAAAATATTAAATCTCTTTTTTTTAGGGTCTCGATAATCTTCACAAAAAGCATCCAGACGTAGAAGTTTTCGTGGGTGTAATCGATGAAATTTTGGATAGTAATGGGTAAAGAATTCATATAATAATAATATCGCTCTAAATATTAGTAGAAACTTTCGTGAAATTAACACATTTTCATTTCATTTCATTTTAAGTTATATTGTGCCTGGATTAGGTATGTCTTTTGATTTGATATTGTTCTTATATGAATGAATCCTTCGCTTAAAGGGTTTGATTTTAATTTTTTCTTTCTTTTAGGTGATGCCGGTGATAGGTTACATGACACGCCAAGTGCATAATTAAATTAGATAATGGTATTGACGTCATATATATTTTTGATATTTAAAGCGAACTTTTTTTATTATTTTTTTTTTAAAAATTTTTTTTTTTTTTTCTTATTTTAGGTTTGATTCAGATAATTAATACAATAAATTAATTCTTTCATTAATTAATTAGCATTAGCGTTGTTAAAATAACAAAATTTTGAATTGACATGATAACTGAAATTGTCCATTTCTCGTAGGAAAAAAAAAAAAAACATTGTTTCCCTAAATTATTTTCTTTTCTTTCCCTTCTTTTTGGAAGGTGACGATGTTGAACCACTAGCTGAATTAGATTGACCACTACCGGCAGCAGCAGTAGCCAAAGAACTTGAACTAGTACTAGCTCCACCAATATCACCACCACCTTTTCCTTCTTTTAATACACCACTAAAGGTTGCAGGAGAATGACTTGGTGGAAATTGTTGTGGATTAATTTTTTGAATTTTTGATAATTCTAGCGATACCTTTTTAATCAATTCCTTACCTAAAAAAAAAAAAAGAAATAATGTTTTCGATTTTTTTCTTAAAAATAAAAATATTAATAATACAAAAATGGTAAAGTTTTATTAAAACTTACGATTTGAAATTTCTGACCTAAAGGGTCTTTTATTTTCGGTAAATAATTGTACGCGTACTCTACCAGGATTTTCCCAATCACGAGGGTGTGTTTTATGTGGCTAATTATTACAATAAGATTTTATAAAGGAGTCCTATTAATTATAAAGATTTTTACTTGTATAATAATACCTCATATAAACTATTTAATCCTATATTTTTAACAGCTTCAGCGACATCTTTTGCTAAAGGATGTGGAGAAGCAATATCTTTGATAACTTTTCTTCCTTGTTGCACAGTTTTTGTTGAATCGAAATAAACAGGATATAAACATATCCAACTTTACAAACAAATAACAAACACATTAATGAATTAAAGGTTAATGATTGATTTTTCTCGAGAATAAAGGTGTATAATATATAATTACGATTTATATGCACTACTATCGTCTGTAGGTATTCTTGAAAATTCGGGTAAATAATCTGGTGGGTCATCATCATCCAATTCCATCATTGGAATTGTAGGAAACATGTTTGGAGGATTTTGTTTTTTTGAACCTCTTGGCATTATTATTTACAGAGAAAAAGAGAAGAGAGAGATGGAGGAAAGGAATTTTTTTTTTTTAGAAAAAAATTTGCATTTAAATTTAACTACCCAATGAAATTCGGGTACTACATTAACTCGGAATCTGAGAACACGTGATTACCAATTTTGATTTTTACAGTTTCACTCTTTTTAAAGCAATAATATCTTTCAAATTACTAAAATTACCTAAGAGAATCAACTAATCAACTAATTAGATACATTATTATTTAAGAAGTTTTACCCAAAGCAGCTTGAAGTGCTTCATAAACCTCTACTTCAATTTTAGCTACTGCCTTTTCTTCTTCTGTGGAAGCTGTTGAAGCTACACGTTGTGCTTCTGCTAGGTTTGTTCTAATGGCCTAAATAAAAAAATTTGTTTAAAATAAAATTTATAAACGAGAATAAATACATAAGGTCGAATAAAAAATTTCGGTTGTTGAAATTTTTTAAATGATCCAAGAATTTACCTCAGGTGAAAATTCATCCAAAGGAAAAGCTTCAATCGCATTGATATCAAGTGATGAGTTGGGATTGACAATGGCAAATCCTCCGCTAACTAAATAAATTTTAAGTAAAAGGATTTTGAATCACAAAAAAAAAAATGATAAAGATAAAAAAGACTTTTTATTCAGACAATACACAATACGTTATATACACACCAAAGTATTTTTTACTTGTATTAGGATTTTCTAATATCTCAATAACACCTGGTTTCAATTGTTCAATGGATGGGACATGATTTGCTAGAATACCCATATCTCCCGCAGTCGAAGCAATGTTTACTTGTTGCACTTCAGCTTTTGAATAAATTGTCTAAAAAAATTGAATGAATTAAAAAGGATTCAAATAGTAATCTAATAAAAGAAAAAGTAATTTCTTAATGCTTAAATTTTTACCTGGTGAGGAAGTGCAAAACTCAAACGTAGTCTATCACCTGAACCAGCCGGTGCTTCAGTAGCATAATAGCGAACTGATAATAAAAACGAGCTTAATAATATTCTTTAAAAATTTCATGGCAAAAAAAAAAAAAAAACGTAAAGAGCGAAAAGTACCTGCCTGAGGTGCAAGGCTTAATACGGAAGGCAGCTCTGGCAGTTCTGGCTAGAAAGCTCATTTTAGTTAACTATTTGGAAAGGTATTTGAAATTTTTTTTTTATTTTACTTTTTTTTTTTTTGGAAAAATTAAAAACCTGATTTCACGTGATTTATTTGATTTACATGGTGAGTCAAAATTTCAATTAAACGCGTCCCTCGAAAAGTTCTACTGTTCTTTATAATGAGTTCATTCTTTCAGAAGCAAGGTGTCACCTACACTAGGTCTGCAAAAGTTTCTAACTCAAACTTACCATGGATCGAAAAATAGTAAGTTAAATGTATTAATATCTAATTACTTTATACATTTAATATAACTTTTTATTTTTTTAAAAAAAAAGTCGACCCAAGTCCTTAGATAATATAAGTGCTCAAGAAGAGACTTTAATGACTTTGAGAAATTCCAAAGATAATGTAAGTACCAAGATTTAGTTATAATCTAATTTTATTTAAAGACTTACATATCTTTATTTTAAGTTACCTCACATGTTATTTTACGGGCCTCCGGGAACTGGGAAAACTTCTACGATCTTGGCGCTTGCACGCGAACTTTTCGGGTACTAATTATAATTCGTGCATCAATTAACCATTAAATCGAAATAACGAATCATTAATCTTGTATAGTCCGGAATTGATGAAAACTCGTGTTTTAGAATTAAATGCCTCGCATGAGCGTGGAATTGATGTGATTAGAGAAAGGGTAAAGAACTATGCTCGATCATTTATTATTAACGATATTAATAAGTAATGCGTTTATGAACTTTCATTTATTGACTTTTGCATTTTGGATGAGCTTGTTATATTAATCATTTTGATTTACAGAAAAGGTCCAGGGTTTAAAATTATAATCTTGGATGAAGCAGATTCTTTAACAAAAGACGCCCAAGAAGCTTTGAGACGCACGATGGAAAAGTATTCCGAACTTACCCGGTTTTGTCTCATTTGCAATCAAGTATCTTGGTTGGTTGGTTTTAATATAAACATACTTTATGCTATTCGTTCCATTTAACGTATAATAACGCGATATTTTAGCATTATTCCAGCGCTGAAATCTCGTTGTACATTATTTCGGTTCAAGAACATTGGCACTGAAAATATGAGAAATCGTCTTGCTTATATTTGCGAGCAGGAAGGAATTAATTATCATCAAGAGGTATAATTTCTTTTGAAATTGTTTGCGCGGAATTAACATAGAGGTATAAATATGGTATAAATATATATGATAAGAAATTTTTATGTAATCTATTTAGACACTGGATGAATTGATCAAAGGCTCTCAAGGAGATCTAAGAAAAGCGATTACTTGGCTTAACAATGCATCTAAACTTCACATAAATGATAAAGTCACGGTCGAAACAATCAAAGAAACTGCCGGTGTATGTAAATTTTTACGTTGTCTTTTTTTTTCAAGTGAATATAATTATTCTTACCTTTTATCGTAGATTGTACCAGACGATGTAATTAATGGTTTAATGGAATGTGCTGCGAGCAAATCTTATGACACGATTCAAGAGACTGTTAGCGACGTTATTGCATCCGGATATTTTGCAAAGCAGATAATAGAACAGGTAATGTTGTATCATGCAATTTTTTTTTTTACAATAATGATTTATTAATATTAATTTATGACTTAGGTTTTCTTTCAAGTTCTCAAAGATTTACGATTTAATGAAAAGCATAAATTTAATATAGGAGAAAGTTTAGGAATAATAGACAAACGCTTGGCTGATGGTGCCTGTGAACTTTTCCAAGTTCTTTCTTTGATGTGTACAATTTCAGAAAATATGGATTAAAAAGGATGAGACATAACATCATAGGAAATTACCACAATATTACAAGTTAGTTTTAAAAGAAAATGTCCTAAAGTAATTTATTATATTTTCAGTCTCATTGTGAACTCTGTTATATATATACATACGTACCGTTTTTGCCTTCTTTATTATTGTTTACTTTCAAGAAAACTTAGATATTTCTCTGGCGATCTTAAATATATGTATTGAAAGTTTGATGCTTTTTTTGATCACGCGGGCGTATGTGAATCTCTTCTTGAGGGGAAATAATGAATTGACAAATATTCGTTAGATTATTTGTCATCCTATCAAATCTTTCAATTTTTCTCATAAAATAATTTGTTATGAGTTCTTCTAAACAGAATCAATTAAACTCTTGGCATATGAGTCAAAAAATTTAATTTTATACTGTTAAACTTTCTTGATAAACTGCAACAAATATACGGGGATAAACCCAACGAACGATTATATTTCTGTTTAACATCATTATCCCCCACTCTTTACAAATTTAGTATGAAGTTAAGGTTAAACGTGCTGAAATTCTACCTTATGCTATTCAACATTTATTAATCACCTTATATATAAAAAATTTGATCCATATAGTAAGCTTATTACTATTTTAAAACTATTAAACGTTATATACTATAATTTTTGCAATTAAAAGTTTATTCAAAGTTTAAATTTCAGAATTTATTCCTAAAAATGTTAAAATTTATTATTTTTACGATACTAGAAATGAACAACCTATAAAACTTATATAATCGAACTTTAATATATAATTTTTTTTTTTTAATAATTGTTTTATTTTAAAAAAATTTATTTATGAAAAAATATTATTCTATATTTTTTTTCAGTTTAAATAATATAATATAAAGTTCAAATTATTATAGTTAAACTATTATTTAAAAACATAATAGATTCAAATATTATTAGTCCGGAACGTTTAGATGTTCGCCCGCTCAAATTTTTTTTTTAGTTAAGATCGTTCCGGACTTAACAACGGTCCCCGTTCCCTAGTATATATGATTTAGAATGATATTTAAATTAAACCGAAACCGAAAAATTAAATTAAATTAAAAAATATAGCAAAATAAACTTAAAATAAATTTTTTTAAAAAAAAAAAAGATCGGCCGCAGAATGCCCGCCGTTCTCAGACGCGACCTATTAAAAGGGGAGCCCGCCGTTCTCAGACTATCCGCGACCTTATCAACATAGGTTTTGATAAGCTTATAAAGGGTCAAATTTTGGTGATTTTCAAAATTATGGGATTCAAAATTCTATATAAATAGGTCATTTTTTAAACTGATCGTCAATTTTAAATCAGGTGACTTCAGGGAAAATTTTGTAAGGAGAATTAGAGTGTCCAGGATTATGCCGTGTAAATACCAAATTATGCATGCGTAATAAAATAAATTATGCTAAATTATGCGTTTATAATTTTGGCCAAAATTGTTAAATTAATTTATAATTTAAAAAAGGATTTATTTAATACAACGCAACAGGAGTAAAAAGCTGATACCTTTGTTCATACACAAGTATAAAAATTCTAGAGTTATTAAGAACATTAATAAAAGAATGCTTCTGGTTGAATACTATTGTAACTAAAAAAGTTAAATGCAGGTTTTAATCTAGAATAATTACATAAAAAACTCGATACAAAAATGAGAAGATAAAATTGGAAAATTCTCCTTCTTGTGAATAATATTCTGACATATACTCTTTATGAAACTGCATACCTACAACCAGGGTTGTTCAAATACAATGTACGAATAAAATTTTTGTACAAGTACAGTACTTGTATATTGTACTATGTACTTAGTACAATTTAGTACATAATAATTAATATGATCATACACTGTATGATATATACTTCGTACAATTTTTGTACAATTTTTGTACTTAGTACAGTAGTACAATTAAATATATTAATATAAATTTAATAAATTTAAAAAATATTGTATTTATAATTTTTTATACAAAAATGGTTTAAAATTTAAAAGAATATATTGTTAAAACAAATAAAAAAAGTAGATCCAGTAACAATTTATGTTACTGTAAAGCTTGTTTTAAAAAACTTGGTGAAAACTATTTAGAATTAAAAACTATAATAGATAAAACTGAAAGAATTCTCACACATTTTAAAAATTGTCAAAATTTTCAAAATGCATATAGTCAACAAGAAAAAGAAGAAATATTCGCTCTTGATAATAAAAAACAAAAAGTTAATTTAGGTAAAATATTAAATAAATTTATTATTTATTTATTATTTATTATAATAATATTTATTTTTAATAGAAAATAATCTATCGCAAGAACCAGTATCAACTTTACCAAATTATTCGCAATTACCATTATTATGAAGAGAATCAATTTCATCTCGCTCATCTTTATCATCCTTTCCTTTTAATTGGTCAAACTATGAACCTTTAGATGTATATATTGCACAACCTTTTTCAAATAAAGATAAAAAAAACTTTTATAATTTGTTATTACGAGTTACTATTTCTTGTAAAATTTCATTAGCTTAGACAAATAATTTAGAAGTAATAGATTTCTTAATCCAAATATTAAATTACCAGATAGAAAAACTTTATCTAATAAAATTTTATATGAAGCAACTAAAGATCTTGATAATACAATGATAGAAAAATTAAAGTTAGATTGAATAGATATTATGATGTTTTTTGATGAATAGACAAATATTTGTGAACAAGAATTAATGGAAACTGTACTTATAACTTCTGATAGACAAATTTACATATGACAAGCTATAGATGTAAGTAGTGAACGTGAAATAAATATTGAAGTTATATCTAAAACTAAAGAAATGATATCCAAGATCAATAAAATTGAAGTATCACTTTTAGCCATTATTACAGATAGTACTCCTGCTTATAATGCAGCACAGTAATTAATTTTTATTTATTATATAATTGTTTTTAATTTAATAATATACTTATTATAAATTATTAATAGAAAAAAACTTTGAATCCAATATCATAATATTATTTTCTTACCTTATTTTGCATACCAAATAAATTTATGTATTGGAGAAATTTTTAAAACTTCATCAGAATTTAAAATAACATTAGATAGAGCATTAAAAATAGCAGCATATTTTAAAAATACCAATAACAAATATTTTATTAGTCAGCTCTGAGATATTCAAAGAAATTTATAGAAAAAATATTCAACCTTCAATTCCTAGAGATACTAGATAGAATAGTTATCTTAGTTATTATAAAAGTTTAAATTCTACTAAAAATGCTTTACAGGTAATTTTTTAATTTAATAATTTTATAAAATTTAATTTTAAATTAATTAATTAATTATTTTGATATAATATAGTCTTTAGCTACAAAATTTGAACCTTCTACTTTTTTAACTAAATGTCAGCATCTAACTGATCCATTAGCAATATCTCGTAATATATATTTGATAATTATGAATAAATCTTTTTGAGAATTATTAGTAAAGTTAGAACATCTTTTAATTTCTTATTGTCATACACTTAATATTTTACAAACTAACAAAGCACAACTACATGAAGTTTTGCATTGCTTTGCTTATTTATATAAATTTTAGCAAAAATCTTCAAATAGAAATCTGGCTGAAAAAATTTTAATATGATTACAAAAAAGATGAGAATTATGGGAACAATCTCTTTTTATTCTTTCTTGGCTTCTTTATCCTAATTATAAGACAAAATATTTTGAATTACCTTTAAAATCACAAATAAGTTATTCACATATAAGCAAATGGTTAATTTATTATTACAAAGCTTAAACTGGTCAAGTTCCTGAAAATATTCTTAATGAATTTAATGATTTTTCATAAAGAATTAAATATCCTTTTGATAATGAATCTGTTGCTCAATTTAAAAATAATATTCACAAATACTGGTGTTAGGTTCAAGATGCTTATCCAAAAATTGAAACTGTTGCAACATGCATTTTTTGTATTTGTATTAATTCAGCTTCAATTAAATGTTTGTAGAGTAACATAGAATATTTTTATACTAAAAATAGGAACTGGTTAAAGGTAATATTAAAACATAATTTTTTAAATAACTAAAATAAGTAAATTAAAATAATTTATATTAATTATATGTAGTTCACATGAGTATTAGAAATGGCTAAGTTGCGAGTTAATATTATTTATAATCGACGAATTGAACAAGAATCTAAATTAGCTATTACTAAATCATTACAAGAAAATATACATGTAAATGTACATAATAACGAAAGTGAAAAAATAAATGATATGATTCTAGATGACGAGATTTTATTAGATATTGAATCTGATTTAATTGAAGATGACTCCGAGGATCAAAATGATGAAAATTTAGAGATAGATCTTACTTCAAAATTCAATGATCATTTGAGTGAATGGTTGGATATACTTCAGCAAGAGATTAATTCTGAAAATGAGTTGGATGATGATTTATATGATTTTGATATAGATATCAAAAATATTGAGCATTCAGCACAAAATACTAATGCAAAATAGAAATTGGAAAATATATTCAAGTGTGATTTAAATTGTCCTTTTTAAAGGATCATTTAATTTTTTTCGTTTATTTTTATTATGATTTATGTATGAATTTACAAATATGTTTTATTATAAATAAAATATAATTTGAAAAAAAAAATTAGGACTTATTTTCTTTTTTATTAAAATTAAATTGTATAATATTTACATGAACGATCCTATAAAGAATGCTAAGAAAAAGAAAAACATAACCTCTCATTATTTAGAATTACCTTCAAAAACTCATTCCGATTAGCAATAACCTTAGAAATATAAAAATGTTATTAATCAAGAATGGAGGTCTTTAGATTCTAAAAAAAAGGTAAATATATTAATTAATTTTTTAATACAAATAAAAAATTTTTGACTGACGATTCCATTCTCTTTTTATAAGAACTTACCTTTTATTCCAAAAGTTGAAAGTCCTCCGAATTCTACAAAAAGGTAAGCGAAAATTATTTTTTTAAAAAAAAATAAAAAAAAAATTAACTAACGCTCCTTCTATACTTTCTAAGAAACTTATCTTGAATTAAAGATGAGAACCTCTGAATCCTACAAAAAAATGAAAATTGTTTTTTTTTAAAAAATTAAAAAAAAATTAATTGCTGTTTCCTTTCTGATCTAGAATAAAGATCTTTGAATCCTACAAAACCTTCTATTTCAAGTCTTGAAAATCTTCTGAATCCTACAAAAAGGTAAGTAGAAGTTAATTTTTTAACTAACATTCTCTCTATATCCTCTATAGGTCTATAGGAGCTTACTTTCGATCAAAGACCTTTGATCTATAAAAAAAAGGTGAGTAATAGTTAAAAAATAATATTAATTACTGTTTTTATCTCTCTATAGAAATTTACCTCTAATCCAGAATGAAAACCTTCAGATTCTACAAAAAAAAAAGAGAGTAATTAGGTTTTTTTTTTAACAAATAATAAAAAATTAATTATCATTTCTATTTTCTCTCCATAGGAATTTATCTCTGATTCAGAATGAAAACTTTGGATCCTACAAAAAAGGTAAGTTAATTATTATTTTTTTTAATACAAATAAAAAGATTTCAACTGATGCTTCTATTCTCCTTTTATAGGAACTTACCTTTCATTCTAAGCCTTAAAAGTCTTTTGAATTCTACAAAAAGGTAAGCAGAGTGTTATTTTTTTTTTAAAAAAATAAAAAATATATATAGTCAACTCTTGATATAGCGAACTCTTGATATAATGAATTTTTTAAACAAATATAATAAAAATACTCTTATTATGGTGAATTGGCTAATCAAATCTCTTAAAATCTTCATTATAGCCTTATAGCGAAGTTGAGTTCTAGAACATAGAGTTCGTTATAACAAGAGTTGATTGTATATATTAATTAACGTTCCCTCTATACCCTCCATAGAAACTTATCTTCAATCAAGGATGAAAACCTCTGAATCCTACAAAAAAAAGGTAATTAGTTTAAATAAAGTTAAAAAAAAAATTGCCATTTCCATTTTCTCTCATAGGAACTTACCTTCGATCTAGGATAAAAATCTTTAGATCCTACAAATAAAAGGTGAGTTAGTAGTATAGAAATAGGCTTTTTAGCATAAAAAGCTCGAATGCCTTCAGAAGGTCATCCTGGGTATTACAAATTTCATATATCGTATTTCACATATCAAATTCATAATGAAATATTACTTGAAAGCCTAAGATTGCCATTTCACTTTCTTGGCTAGCTTTCATTCTGAAATCGCTTGTTTTCAAGTAGTAAAAAAATTTTTGCTTTTTGGCACAAAAAAAACTCGAATGCCTACATATTCCCCAAATGTGTCCAGAAGGTTATCCTGGATATCAAAAATTATACACATAGCGTAAACCCATTATTATCTTATATGTGACTTTAAGGAATTCATTTTGCTTTCTTGATTGGTATTCGCTCTGTAAACGTTTACTTCCTATATGTAAAAAT